ATATACGTCACCGAAAATAAAGTGACAAACTAGATTTTTTTTGGATTTTCTCATGGTAAATAGTTTTTTTTTTGGATTTTTTATTTGAACTGATAAATGTTTATATCCGTTGTTTTTTTCATAAATGTCACTCTCTATGATAGATATATAATGCAAACTTTTTAAATACGAATATATCTATTGCAAATTTAGTTTCCTACGCTTTTTTCATTTCAAATACAAATCAGTATAGTCATCGATTCCTAGTATGTCTATGTATTAGTGTTGCAGAGACAGTTGAAGAATAGAAGAACTTGACAAACCGATCAAATTCAGTTTAGAAACCGTCACTGTCATCACCGTTAAGAGGTTCTAAGACAAGAATGTCTAATTCTCTAAGATCACTATGTGAAAAACTATTGCGGCGCCTTTTTTGCCACTTATCATTTTTGGCCATTGAATCAGAACTGCCTAGTGTTGCAGTTGATGCTGATGCTTCGGAAACGTTGCAGCCTGGATACGGATTTTCTTGAAAATTTCTTTGTAATAAACAACTGATCGTAGCTAGTGTTTCATTAAATTGACGTGACCAGGTAAAAGTCATTTTAGATGGTTGCTTCAACGATGTCAATAGATTTGTTGCAATTGTTCTCGAGCTCAAAAGTAAGTCATCGTCATAATTATATTGAATTGATTTTTTTTCGTATTTACGATGATTACGACGATGATGGATTTGTTTTTTTCGGTTGTTGTGCTGCATAAAAGCTTGATTCAATGGATTGTAAGGCGTGTGTATGTGTTCAGTAGCGGTTGATGTTGATGGAAGATTTGGATCGGATCGTCGTATTGGTAACATTAACATTGGAGTAGCAGGTAATCAATCTCGATAAATATAGCTGCAGTTATTATTTTTTGGGCTTTCTTGTAGGCTGGGACTTGATGGTGGTGCTGGCGATGAGCTACTGTGTGATATCGATGGTGACGAACCAGAGCTCGAATTATGTGGACTTTCAGAACGATGTTGATTTACTGCAAATTGTTACCAGAAAAACGGCAATTATTGATCATTAATACAACAATATTGTACAGAGTTTATCATGGGAGATAACTTTCAACCAAGAAAAGTAATTCAAAATCTGACTTCACAGGATGATTGGGGGTTCCGAGGAATAGAAACAATTGGATTTTGAGCAACATTAGTTGATAGAGTAAAGTGTCATGTCTAGTGTGATTGTTCATGGGCATCCATATGAAAAATTCAATTTTTCTTCCAAAAGTGATTTGTATACTTAATCACTCAAAAATATGCCCCCCCTATCCAGCCTGGCAATTTTTTGCGATTGCCTTGAAACCTTTTTAGGGATTTAGTGACTAATTTGTGATAATTTGTGATAATTTGTGACACCAGTATTTCGGCCCATGGAATAGACCTTCGGCCTATTTAGGCCCATTGGCCAAAAAGTCTCTTAGTGAAACTTTGAATAAAAGCAAAATATAAAAGTATAATGATGCAGAATTTTAGTGATTAATTTGTGACTCACAAATATGACTTTAGATTTTCGATACGACATCTGGTGGACATATTATGAACAAAAAATTGAAAAATGCACAAAAATGATTATAATCGAAAATTTGAAAAGGATTTTCATAAAAATGGGCAAAATTATAAAAATTCTTCGACATAATTTTAGTGACCAATTTGTGACTCCCAAAAATGTCAACATTTGAATTTGTGACACACTCCTTGGGACAGAAATCTCAATTTTTCGATTTTCATACTAAAATTCAAAAATCAATGAAATTTTTCAAATCGAATACGAAGATCCAATAACTCTACAAATATTTTGAATAACTCTATGTAGGTTTGTTACACTGGCAGGGCTTGGCCTGAGTATGTTCGCGAACGCATACATGACACCTATGCTTATTTTGGTGGATCGATTGCGAGGTATACAGCCGGTGTAGTTGGTGGACTTTCTGTGTGCGCTGTGTGTGCCCCAAATGGTAGTTTTATAATAATGGAAGCTTTGAAAATAATAGTAATTATTTCATTGTAATTTCTTATAGATCGGTTTTTATTCATGGGAGGTCCACTTGCAATCGGACTGGGTGTCGTATTTGCTTCTTCTCTTGGTTCAATATTCCTATCACCCTCTACTGCACTAGGGGCTGGACTTTATTCAATGTCTTTGTATGGTGGTCTTTTGCTTTTTAGTGCTTTCTTGTTGTACGACACACAACGAATTATTCACAAAGCTGAAACACATCCAAATTCAAACTATGCGGTGCAAAAATTTGATCCGATCAATGCGTATGTTCTTCAAATCCCAAATCTTTAATTTGTTATTATTTATATCAAATTTCAACAACTACAACATTTTTTTACAGAGCGATTTCTATCTATATGGACACTTTAAACATCTTCATTCGACTTGTGAGCATTCTGGCTGGACAAGGTGGAAGTCGTCGATGATAAATAAATTTAAAAAAAGTGTATATCCGTTACTTGAAATAAATCAATCAAAAATGTGTTTCAAGTTCTTATTTTTCTTATTTATTGTAATTTTTCGTGGAAAAGAAATCAACATAGCTAATGATTCAATATATATTATATATCAGTAATGTGCGAGCTAATTTTCACAGGGGGGGTGATTTTTCCTCTAATTTGAATACCAAATTTCGTTTTTGGCGAAAATCCCTAGCAAATTGAAAAAAAAATTCTTGCGCCAAAAAACCCTAGCAAATTCGAATAATTTCGGGGATTTTTTTTCTCGACAATATCGGTTAGATAATACGAAAGTCCACGCTAAATATATAGCCAGACTTCATGATAAGAACTATTAACATTGTTCTTTAAATTAAACTAAATTTAATTTTTCATTTATTTGTTTGATTCATTGATTGTTGATTTTAATGAGCGATGTGTAGTGTGTGAACGATGCTATTCTCAGTTTTCGCCATCGTCGTCACTACCACTACCGCTATCATTATTATCATCACTGTTGTCTGACAATTCACTGTTGCTCAAATCGATTGCATCTTCTTCGCTGCTTGACGACCACCATGACTGATCCGAATCGTATTCAGCTTCATTGGAATTTTTTGATGTTTGATACTGAAATGTAAACAAAAAAATCAAATTCACATTACACATTACATGTATTCAAAAATTGTATTCAACAAATAATGCAGCTCACCTTTTGTTGCTTTTTACGCTTGTTCAAATTGTTTGAAGCTCCGCTCTGCATGTTGGTTTTGTGTCTCGGCATCGACTGTGAATGCATC